ATGAGAAACTGCTTCTTTCTCATAATGAATGACAATCTTAAATCAAATAGACACATAGCAATATCTGATATACATACTTTCATCCTCATAGTTGATCTAGATATTTATTAGGTTTCAATAACATATTTTCTAGCTCATATAACTACAAGACATGTACCATTGCACAACCCATAAACTTCTTAATGTTTCGGTTCACATTAAAATGGGGGCACCCACTTTAAGCTTTATTTCATAATTCAGGAGGTTTGACATTGTAATTTAATTTAAAAAATGTGTAGAATGCAAGTCATTAAATAAATTCATGTCTCCAACATGTTTAATAACACTATCAAAGCTTAGGCATATAACTTTCTCTCAGGAAGTAAGAATAACATGTACTTATTTACTTCTTCAATCACAATCTAATTAAGAGCTAATATAGCCATATCTCTAAAATATGAAGAATTATATATATTGGCAAAGAAAATCAAAAAGGTTGAATTAATAATAGACTTTATGATTATTTTAACCATCCTATAACAAATCATCTAGGATCTTAATATTTATAAATCCTTCGTTAGTTCTAATAGTTGTTTCATTACCAATTAAGATAATCCAATCAACAAAATTTTAAAGAGCATTAATAGATATTTCATTATTTGTTTATAGAAGTCTCATATCTATTGTTAGTGTCAAAAGTTGACAATTGCCCTAAAACAAAAAGTTAATGGTTACAAAAATAAAGTCTTGACCCACCTAGAATAACAGGAACTGAAAGAATACCAAAATAAAATTTTACATTTATAAAATTAGTCATGTAAAAAAGACTCGAGGATTTTACAAAATTAAAGGTTTAAATGACAAATTTACCTTTGAACTATAAGTCCAAAAGCATTTGATACTCTAAATTTATTTTTGGCGCAATGTACTCCTTCAATCTTTGAAAACAGTGTAATATTGTCGCTACAGTTAATTAATAATAACTTTAATTGTTAGTTTACTAAAAAATTACTAAAAAGAATCTCAAAAATTATAGAAAAGAGACCAATAAAATTTTCTTGGTCCTTTTGTGTATTTTTTTAGTCATTGTCTATATTTTTGGATCTTTTACAATGATTTTTTGTTCAACTAACATTTAAATTTAATTTTTATTAATGTTTAGAGTGAAATTGCCTTTTAACCCTTAATGAAATCAGTATGTGTGAAAAGAAAATAGTAAGCAACACCACTTATTTATAATTGGTATAGATCTTTTTGATAATTTGATTTGAATTTGAATTTGATAATTTTCTCTAAATTATAGATCTTCATGACTATATTGGTTGAAGTTTTGAAATTCAAGTAAATTTTTTTGAGATCTATAAAATTATATTAAATATTGTCAACCATATTTTTTTTGAACTTATATAGATCTAAAAAAAAGAATACATTAATTTAGAGTGCTGAAAAGGGACCACGTGTCATAATTTAAAATATACACAAAATGACATGTGGTATTCAAATGACTACATATTAAAATAATTATTACTTAGTTAATTTAATAACTTTCTCACAACCTCTCACTAAAATATTTGACACGTGAGATCAATTTATATAATTGAAATAACTTCAAAATTTGAATTATATTTAGTATAAATAATTAATATGAGTAACTTTAAATTTTAAAATTTAAAATTGAATCCATCTTTAAAATTCAAGTAAATACATCTTCAAATTAAATAAGATAAAATTTGATTACATAAAATAAAATATTAATTCATCAATGTAAATATTTAAAATCATATTTTAAAATAAATTTAAATATATAAATATATATGTTATATAGATATATATTGTGACCACTCTTCTAGTTTATTTATAAATATTTAAAAATTTAGTTTGAATCTATTTACAAACTAACAATAAAGCCTAGCTTTCTAAGCACAAAATCATATAGGAGATGCACATAAAGCTATTAAAATGAGTTGGCTTGATTCTTATAAACTTAGCCTTTAAGAACTCAAGCTTATAAATTAACTTTTCCTGACTTTTTCTCAAGTCTGATCTTTATTAATACGATTTAGGGCTAAGCTTGAAGCTCATATAATTTTTTTTATTTTTTAAATCAAAAAATTTTAATTATACTAGTATATGTGTGTGTATATATATATATATTACAAAATACCTTAATTAAATATCTAAAAGACAATAATAAACTTTGAAGTATGATTAAAATAATACAAACCCTAAAATATAATATAAGTTATATAAGTCCTAACTTTCTATCATCCAAAATGTAAATATAATATTAAAATACTTTAATAGAAATGTATTTATGACTAACAATGTTAATATGATTTGAAATTAATTAGTTGTAATTTAACATATATTCAAAATTCAACTGAAATATTTTTTATTTTGATATGAATCATAGAATTACATCCAAAAACTATTATTGATGACTTTAAAAAATTCATATAATATTGCATACATAAAATAAAAATCTATAAATGAAAAAATCCATTTATATATATAATAAAAATAAATAAATTCAATTATTAAAAATATATCTTAATAAAATATTTTTTTCAAAAAATTTAATTTTAAAACAAAAATTCTTGTTTAAAAATTAAATAAAAAATTAAATTAAAAATAATTTTGAAAAGCATGGTTAAAAAAATTAAATTTAAAAATACTATATTGTAATATCTAATACAAAAAATACAAGTAATATAAATAAAAAAATTAAATTTTTAAAAAATATTAATTGATTAGAATTAATATTTATATTTAAATTGATTAGAATTATATAATATATTTATGTATTTTATAAAAAATCCAAATTTATATAATTTTTTTATCTATTTAAATTGACTAAAATAAATAAATTTATATATTTTATTATTTTATTTTTCAAACCACACTAGTAAAAATATAATTAAAATTCAATTTTATTATTGTACAAAAATAAAAAATTTAATTAATATATTTTAAATTGTTCAATTTTAAATTCAAATAGATAAATATAGTTAAAATAAAAAAATAAAAATGGTATGTCATTCCAAACTTAACTTCGCACCCCAAATCTATCAAATAAATTAGTTCAAAAGGATAAATAATTCTTTCAAACTTATTTATTTTATTTGATAGGCGAGTCACACATATTAAATAAAAAATTTATTATTTCAAAAACTTGACATATTAAATAAAATTGTCATTACTTTACTTTCTAATTATCTTAAACTAATTCCATATATTATATAAGATAGTCAAGAAATTGTTAGATAAAATAAAATTATTTAATATATATATACAATCTTTATATATTAAATAATATTAGATAGTCCACAATTAAAGTTCTTGAATTGATAATAAAGAATTAAGATAGGTTATTATTTTAAATGGGCTAAATATAGTTTTCAAAGAATAAATTTAAAAAATTTAAATACATATCAATTAAGTAATTATCATTCGTTGCCTCTCTATCTGTAAGTTTTGAAATGTTAATAAAATTAAACTCAAAATGATGGATGGATGGAATCCATATGAGAATGCAATTTCATATAATGAACATGAATCTAATTCTATAAAAATAATTTGTTGTCTAATATGATCGGGAGCATTGGGAGACATGCAACATATCTCCAGAACATTTCACAAAAGGCTTCCAAATGACTGTAGAGATTTGGCTACTGTATAGTAATATTGTCTTACAGATAGAATAAGTATTATATATTGGATATAATTGATGAGATCTAAATTATAAAAAAAAATACAAAAAACATAAGCACTTACTTAAACATTTTGAAAAACCAATTTAACACCCGTTGGATTCTTCGAATATATTTCTACCTTGTAATCTCTAAATATGAATCATCCTAACCACAATGCATCAATCTTTTTTTGTTGTATTAATGATGTGAATTGCATGCATCTTAGATGCAGAAGCCATTGATAGTATGAACAACAGTCGAGAGGAGAATAAACCAAATGTGATTAGAGAAGTAAGACAGACGTAAAGGTGTGAAATGTGCTATTGACCTAATCTAGTAATTTATAATTGAATAAGGTTGAATTGGGAGAGAAAATTAAAGGATGATTTTTAAAAATTAAGATGATAGATATTAAATATTTATTTTTGTGAGTATAGATATTTAATATATTTGAATTTTAACAAACTTCATGAGGGCTTTTTCAACATATTAGTATTATCCAAAATTTAACATCTCAATATTTTTCATAAATAACAAACGATAGTTCTAAATACTTTATTGTTAAATAAATTGACATCTATATTATGAAATTTATAATATGTGAAATTTAACATCATGAGATTCAAATTATTAAATAGATTAATATTTATACTTCAACATATTTATAATTCTCTAAAATCATGAGGATAGTCTAAATATTCAAACACATATTCCTTTCTCTAAATATTTAAACAGATAAATATTAATTTAAATTTGAATACCAATATATTTACATATATATACTCGATCATATGAATTTAGATTTTTGGCATATCTTTAGAGTGAATGGAAGCTTTAAATAGATAGATACTAATTTGAATTCAAATATGATGAGATTTGAATTTTAAATAGGCAAAAAATAATTTTTATATATATCTAAAAATTGGTAAGTCATCCCACACCTAACTCCAAACCTAAATGCCATATTTTATATATATCAAAAAATAATAATTAGCCCGAACCTAACCCTAAATTTAACTCTAGAGCACGGAATTGTGAGAGAGACGTAATATTTTCTTGTAGTCTTTAACCCTACTTTTATATATATAATAATTTTTTTGCTCATCCAAACAAATTTTTTTAAACTTTTTATATCTTAATTTTAATTTAATTCATTCTTATTTAAGTTAAAAACTAATTCAAACATGTACTTAGTTTCTCTTTGACTATAGTTTTCCTCCCGCGCACCACTACTGCAAATATTAAATTTTAACTATACACATTAATCCATATTTTTTAAAACTTGTAAATCTAAATCATTAAATACAATTTCAGACAAAGATTGATTTATGGCGCTTCTTCCACTGCAGTGAGAAGCAACTCCGTTTCTCATCATGCACCGGGATTCAGGAAGCATGAGAAAAAGTGAATGATTGCCCTGTGCTATTCTGCTTCTCCTCCTCAATCCCCATAACACCACTTTCTAGGGTTTTGAATAAGGGACAAAGGCACAAAACTAAGCTGATCATTTCTGGTTATGCACAGTCCTTTCGGCATCCAATCACTGACGCTCACTTCACATCTTTCTCTTATCGGAGAATACGAGGGAGGGATTGCTTACTTCCTGAGCTTTCCTCCTGAGATGAGTGAGAAAATGCGATCCTAATGTATAAATTGTTTGAATGTAGCAAGAGCTTTGCACGGAGCGATGTTGGCGATGGAGAAGGATTTTGATTCCAAGTTGAGGATTCAGAGTAATTCGTCTAGTGATGGGAGTGTCCCGAGATGTCAGAGCATTCCTTTCCGAGCTCCTCAGGAGAATTGCACCATCCAGGACTTTGAATTGGGAAAGATCTACGGCGTTGGTTCTTATTCTAAGGTGCTATACGGTTTAGTGCTATTTGTGATTTTTTGTGCCTGGTTGTGTTGGTGTTAGTGTTGCTTTGTTTATGCTTTTCCTTTTTTTGGGTCATGCTTCGAAGCATGCATAAATTCTCTGGATGGCATTGACTTTTCTATGTTTTTCTTTTTCTTTTTAAAACGTCAGTAGATTAATCTATTCAGTTCTTTTGGTTACTATCATCAATGGGATGATGCTGTAGAGATCATTATGCAATATTGTTATCCTTGTTGCTATATAATGTATGAAACATCCCCTGATATCTTGTATTGGACCGCATTAATTAACTCATAAGGTAGAACAATTGCTACTCCCGAATCATTGGTTGCTGAAAATGTGAAACGGCTTGCACTCCACTCCCCTTTCTAGGCCCAAAAAGGCAAATGCTGATGCTCTATTCGTTTTTAATTTAAAATTCTGTGAATGTTGGTTTCTTGTTAAATATGTCGTTGGGCTTTCTTTTTCTTTCCCCACTGGTTTTTAAAGACCTAACATTCAGAGATTAGGTTTCAATTTCAATCCTTTTTCTGAACTTCAAAAGACAAATCAAGCCTCAAGCAAACTTTTGAAGTGGTAAATAGAAATTTCATGATTTGATTTCTCCACACTCATAGCAAGTTACATAATGTTACCCATAAGAATTGCTAAACGTCTGAGACTTGCCATTTTAATTTAGATTAAAAGAGAAGCAAATGATAGGATGTAGAAAATAAGACAAGCTGTGTCATGGCTGGCTTGACTGTGCATGGTATACTCTAGACAGCCATTAATCTGATAAATCATTATCTTGGAGCATTATAGATTTATAGTTAGGTTTGTAGTTCTTTTGCCAAAAAATGCACTCCTTTTCAATCCACTTGGAATTTCTTGCTGAATGTGGATCCTTTAATGTAAGCTTATGTGTGTTGTTAATTTGTTATCCAACTCAAGGCTGTGTGATCTTACAAAGTCTGGTGTTTCAACAGTTGTGGTAGAGCAAGGAATCATGATCTAACTGTTTTTTAAATGTTGTTCTCTGCTTCATGTTCTTTATTGATGACTTTCCCTTTTCATTTATTTATTTTGGTTCACTGTTGTCACATTTAAGATGCACCCTGGTTGAATCCAAGTTTGATGTTATTCTTTGAATGTTTTCTAATTTTGATATTTTGGAGTAAGGCCGGTGACACTGGGGCAAAATAACGGGGGAAGTGTGACCTCTGGAACTGAATCTGGTGTTTCTGCTTGTTAGTGATAGAGGAGCTGATTTGAATTTCCCTGTAAATTTGATCATGTTGTTCACCTCTGCCTCTAGCTCTCTCTCCTCTAATAGATAGTTACTCCTTCCATTAAAAAATATATGACATTTTTTGAGGAGTTGGATGTTAAAAATTGTAAGGCATTTTTAAGTCTTCGAGGAGTAATCATTGCCTTTTTTCCAAAAGTGCTCCTATTGATAATGACTTTATATTTATGTAAAGTGTTTAATAGAGGTAAATATGAAAAGATGGAGTTAGTTTGAATGTAAGTAACTACTTTATTGTTGGGTGAGATTTGGTTAAAAATGCCTTACATTTTTAAATGGAGAGAGTATTTATTTTCTGTTTTGTTTGAATTTCTCTGCTGGGCACCTATTCCATTCACCAACACTATGTGCTTGAAGGAAAAATCCCCTTGCCATTTTGACATCTGACTTTCTATGTTATTTCAGGAATTTTAGTTGATTTAGTTTTTCTTGTCTAATTATCTTTAAATATCATTGTCATGGTTTTTAAAGGTTGTGAGGGCAAAGAAGAAGGACACGGGATCTGTATATGCATTGAAGATCATGGACAAAAAATTTATCACCAAGGAGAACAAAACAACTTATGTGAAGTTGGAACGTTTAGTGCTTGATAAATTGGATCATCCTGGAATTGTGCGGCTGTTTTTCACATTTCAAGACACATTTTCTTTGTGTACGTATACTGTTATGGAGTTTTCGCTTTATAGTATACTCTTTTCTTGCTGATTCTTCTTGTGTGCTCTTTTTACTTTCAATTTTCTTGTTGAATTTTGCTCTTTGGTTGCTAAGTTTGGTCTACTATTTGATGTTGGTATCCTTTTTTGTGTTGTATACTTTTTCAATGGTGAAGACATGGCACTTGAATCGTGTGATGGTGGAGAACTTTTTGATCAAATAACCAGGGTAAGCTAACTTAAGACTTCAAGGCATTAACTCAATGTGTTGGGGTATGAGTTGTGAGTAAATTATTTTAAAAATTATTATGAAGCATGTGCTGAAGGTGTTTTGGTCAGCCAGATGTAGTTTTGGTCATGACTAAGTTAGATCTTTTAATAAAAACATCAAAGAAATGATGTATGCTTTAATTTTTTTTATTAAGTTTTTATACAAAATGAAACTAAAAAGCTGCTTGAAGATGACATTTTCAAAATTTTGAATTTTTTTTTATATGATTTGTTAGTTTGAGGATAATTTAAAATGTGGCAATAACAAGGGTGTAAAATATGGTTAGTGAGTTCTGATTTACATGAAACTTATTACTTATTAGTTATAGGATAGGTGCAAAGCAATGCTGTAAAGGCTCATAAATACAAATAATTAGATCATGGTACCCCTCTTAATTATAAAATGAAGTCAACCTAATCTCCCTGCTAATAGGTAATTGTATTTACAAACATAATCAATTCACAATCAGCACTCAACTCAAGTTGGATCATGTAGGCCACATGTGCCATTCATGTTGCAAGTGTTGAAAATTTGGGCTCTTCTTAATGCTTTCATGAGTATATCAATTAGTTGATCATCAGAGTAGACAGGACTAGCGGTGATGGTCACACATAGGTATTATCTCTAATAAAATGATAATTAACTTTAATGTTTGTTCCTCTTCAAAGATGGGATTTGAGGCAAGTTATTGGTGTAGCTTGATTGCCACATTTGAATTTCATTATGTTGGTCGCCAAATTGAAGTTTTTGGAGTAATTTTTAATTCACAAGTTCATATGCTGTCAATGCCATAGTGTGGCATTTAGCCTTAGCACCAGATCTTGCTACAACATCTTGTTTCGTCCTTTTTGAGAGACAAGATTTTCTCTACGGAAGATGCAGTGTGGGGATTGTTGATCTTGACCAATCTATGTTGTAAACTCACTTGCACATGTTTGTGATTCTGATGGAACCCTCTACGCTAATAAACTTAAAACAAGCAAAAATACAGAAAAATACACAGAAAATGGGACTAAACAGAATAATGGAGTTGTATTACCAGCAAAATGAACTAGAAGTACAGAGTACATGAAACAACACAAAATACAACCCAGTACAACAAGAAAAACATAAGTTACACATGAACAAATGATGAAGAAAGATATCTTCCTCCACCCCAATCTGGCATTCGAGAGGCCAGAGCTCTCCTCACGACTCACAATTTCAAAATACTGCCCACCCTCCCTCTGGACGAAAGGAGAGATTTAAAGACCCAAAAAGTTACAAAAGGTTGAACATAATCCTAGCTGAACCTAATCCCTATTCATACATCACTTTGTCCCCCTATGGCCAGGAACCTTTGGGTAATTCTCTTATCCGCTGGAAGATAATTCTTTAGTCTCTTTCCTACACCATGTCCCTCCATATAGACTATGTTATAGGCCCTAGGAAATGATATATAAATCTGTTCTAATTCTTCAGCTCTATCAGATTCTTATATAATAAACCTTTCTCAAGTACCCCTTTGATATATCCGAGGATACGTATCATTGCATCCCAGTGGCTAATTTTCTGCCGTTGCTATCAAGTTGCATCAACTTGTCTATCAATTTATGTTTAGCATTGTAATTGTGTAATCACATTTGAATATGATGGAACCCTCTACCCTAATAAACTTAAAGCAAGCAAAAACCAGATAATAAACTACAAATGGGACTGAAATTACTATTGCTGAATAACCAAGTTGGATTACAAGCAAAATCAGGCACTGAAACTACAATCGAATAGCAATTACAAAGTACATGAAACAACATAAAATACACCCTCTGGACAGCAACACAAACACAAGCCACTCACTAACACACTAAAATGGAAAGAGAAAATGATGAAGAAAGACAATCCTCCTTCACCTCCAACCTGACTTACGAGAGGCCAAAGCTCTCCTCACCACTCACAATTTCAAAAGACTCCACCCCTCTCTCTGGTAGACATGGAGGATTTAAATATAAAAAAGCTAATAACATTGCTTACACTCTAGCTGACCTAAACCTACTCTCTTGCGTCACTTTTTTCTTTCTTTTTCCCTTATGTGCTTATGTTATTAGTGGAAAACAAGTAATAAATACCAGCTGAACTATGATTGGTGTTCGGCCTGGGCAATTATTGGATAGATTGTATGATTTCTCCAATGAAAATCTTTGGGATGGGTTTGCCCTTTTCTTGCAGAACTGTTTGAACTTATACTATTGTGTGGAATTTGGAACTTAGTATGTTTGCAGTTCTTCCTGCCTTCTTGTTTAGGGGCAAAGCCAGAAAATTTTATTAGAGGGGTCAAGATGACAAAACATATATGATAATTAAAAGAAAATTAAATCTATATATATATATATATATCACTAACATAACATAAATATTTTAACGTATATATTTATATTCAATTATATATATGTATAACAAAAATAAATATATACCTTCATTTTTTAAGTTTTGCTTATTAATTTTTTATAGCATGAAAATAATTAATTATCATGTCTACAATAAAATTGTTAGCAATTTCCTTTTCAATATAAATTATCATTAAATTGGTGAAGATTTCATCTTTCCCATGAGCGTTGAATAATTTACATGTAAGGATCTAAAGTTTTGTTCAATCTAAAAAACTCTTTAATTGCTTATTGAATTTACTATTTAATTCTTTCAATTGATGGTTGTAGTAAATAAATATATCAACATGGTAATGATGCTCAATTGTCACAAATTCTTTATATTGATGAGATCTAAGTATACCATAGTAAAAACCATTCATATAATAAATTTCAATAACTTGGTTATTACATAAAAATGTATTTTTTTTTAAGAACATATCTTAACCATAATCTCTTAACTTTTGGGTAAGTGATTTTATGGTAGATATTAAGTACATAGCATTCAATATATCTTGAGATTTTTGTTGCAATGCTTGATAAAGTTTGTTAGTAATAATTCTCATATTTTCTTTCATTAAATATAAAAATGAAAGCAAAATCAAATGACGTCAATGCTTTAAGAGCAACTAATATTATCTTGTTGAAAATAAGTAGATCATATAATAATTATATCTTCAAGTTACTAAAACAGTTGGAAAGGCTATTATAGAATTGAAATGAGAATTTCATTTAGTGTCTCAAGGCTTTTGTAATGTGTCAACTTAGGGCCAAAAATATATAACTCTTACATTTTATTAAGAAAAAAATAAAAAAGTTAGGGGGGCTATGGCTCTTGCTGGTGGCTGTCTCCACTCCTCTTCTTGTTATTTTATGGTATCTGTAGTATCTTATTGATTTTTCTGTGTGCAGAAAAGTCGTTTGTCAGAGGATGAAGCACGATTCTATGCAGCTGAAGTTGTGGATGCTCTTGAATACATACATAATATGAGCTTGATACATCGTGATATTAAGGTAGCTCGCTGTGACAGTTAAACTACTCTAGTGCCTTAAATAGCTATATGCCTTGTGTATTCCAGTGATCAAAATTTCTTAAATTGCAGCCAGAGAACTTGCTGCTTACAGCTGAAGGACATATAAAATTAGCTGATTTTGGGAGTGTCAAGCCTATGCAGGGAAGCCAAATCATGGACTTCCTTCCAAATGCAGCATCAGGTAAGATCAGGAGCATTTTTGAGGATGCTTTGATCTATTTATGGGTAGTCTTATATATTAATATTTTCTTTTTATTCTTAGATGATAGAGCCTGCACATTGGTGGGGACAGCTGCTTATGTTCCCCCAGAGGTTCTTAATTCTTCTCCAGCAACATTTGGGTAGGGACCTAATCATTCAAAAATTATAAGTAAATTGCATGTTGCAGTTGTAACATTGTTTCTTATACTAAATGTCTGTACAACCAGATTATTTATTTATGTAGTGTTTTCCTTTCTTATCTAAGATTTGACTGTTTTGTGGACTTGGTAGTTAATCTCTGTTTGTTCCATGCCAAGTCTTTTCTCGGTAATCTTTATTTTATTTTTTCTCTGTTATTTATAATTTTCACACAGAAATGACCTTTGGGCCCTTGGATGCACATTATACCAAATGCTCTCAGGAACTTCTCCTTTTAAAGATGCAAGTGAATGGCTTATTTTCCAAAGAATCATAGCTAGAGATATTCGATTCCCGGACTATTTTTCTGATGAGGCAAGGGACCTTATTGACCAGTTACTGGTTAGTCTTTTCTGATTATAAATACGGAAATTTCTGATTTGCTTGTGCTCTATCAAATTGACCAGCTTAAAGCACAAATAATTTGCCTGATCAGAGGACTAGGAGCTTAAATTCTTTGGGTTTGTATACTTTTTTTTTTTTTATTATTGTTATTGTTATTATGATTTTTGACTAATTTGAAAATTCACATTGTCTTCCTTTGACTTTCGTTTTCTGGGAAACCAAGTTCTTTTGACGGAAGGAGATGCAGAACAATATAGAATTAATAGAGGAAAAGGGAAAGGGAGAGGGAAGGAAAAGAAGTGAGATGTAGAGAGAAATAAAGTGAGAAGAAGAGAAGGGGAGAGATATCTGGCTAACAATCTAAGAGAATTTATTTATTACTCAAGAAAATGCAACTATCCTAACCCAAAAATGTCACAAGGGTTGGCCAGTGTGAGTGGCGCTCACTACCTAAAAATCTGCATCTTGCATGGTTTTTTTTTTTTTTTTTGTGTGTACAAGTTTATGCATGCTGACAGTAGCTGTAGTGATTGTAATGTTCAATTCAAAACAGCCATGTTATTATGCTTCAGGATTTAGATCCCAGCAGGAGACCAGGTGCAGGACCTAACGGTTATACTGTTTTGAAAAGGCATCCATTTTTCAAGGGAGTGGACTGGAGTAACGTTAGGGATCAAATCCCCCCAAAACTTGCTATGGAACCAGGGGTATGACTTTAATTGAATTTTCAAATGATTAGTTTGGGAAAATGGGGGAAAGGAACCTTCTTTCACCTCTCCTTTCGTTATTGATGAATATGAAGAAATTTCTATCTATACCATCTACATTTCACTTTTGTTGCAGTCACCTGAAGCTGATGATGTTTATGATTCATCATGGAGCCTTTCTCACGCTGGGGATGGTTCTGCTAGGCAATCTGATGGAAATATTGGTGCTACATCATCTTCTGAGGGGTTTGATCACATAACTAGGCTAGCCTCAGTAGATTCTTTTGATTCAAAGTGGTATTCATTTTCTTCTTCTTCTTTTTTGTCTCTGATGAGGAAACGTTATATGCACTTGAAATGTTATATCATCCCATGCAAACTATGAATTATCTATCATACTTGTTACATTGTATAGCTCTCAAATGTTAGTATACTTGTTAAATGAAAGGTTTCTAAATAACTGTTTAAAGGATGTTTCTGGACTCATATGGCTGTGTCAATATATTCTCTGCATTTGGTTTATTTCTTGAAGAATGCCCATATAGGCCTTTATATTGTACTTGCCCAGTGCATAAAGGAATATTCGGGTGGAAAATATTATGAAACTTATTAGTGTCCTTGATATTGTGAAAATAATATGGGGAAGCAGCAGTGCTATATTCTTATTCAATCAGCAAAAACAGAGTACATATATCAGGGAGTAAAGGGAGAGTGTGAGATCTCATACTATCTCACTAAAATGGAAAAAGTATGAAAATAATTAACCCTAAGATCTTAGAGTTAGGGATAATGATATGATCATATAAAATAAATACGAGGATAAATCTGCTGAAGTAAGGAAAAACTAAGTCCATTTTGTCATGGCCCAAGAGGATAAGCCTCCTCCAACACTCCTTAAGCTGGTGAGTAGATGTTGATTATTCCCAGCTTTGGGATTCTTCGAACTTCTTGACAGTCTGAGACATTGTCATTACATCTGCAATTTGCCTTGTAGATGAGATATAGGAAAGATTGATCACCTTCATCTCTATTTTCTCCTTGATAAATAAAATGTCTATCAATCTCAACATGCTTAGTGCAGTTAAAAATGTCTATCAATCTCAACACGCTTAGTGCAGTTATGCTTACATTTAGGATTATTTGCAATGCCATAACAGCTTTACTATCAGTGCAAAGCTTTATTGGCGAATCTGCTTCAAATCTCAGCTCCTTTAGAAGCTGTTTAGTCCACATTCCATCTCAAATTCCAAAAGTGACTGCTCTATATTCAGATTTTGCTGCACTTCTAGAGACCATAGGTTGTTTCTTATTATGCCAAGTTACCAAATTGCCCTAGACATAGCTTTACTACATCGTTTAAACTTCCTTTACCCAAAAAAAAAAGAAAAGAAAAAAAGAAAAATAAATGAATAAAATTCCATGTTCAGGTTTTACTTTCAGGTACCCAAGAATTCTGTAAACAAATGAAATGTTCTTGTGGTGTATTTGCAAATTGGCTTATCACACCAGTCGGAAAGCATATGCTGGGCCTGGTAGAAGTCAAATGCTAGTTTACCCACCAGCCGTGAGTACATCTCTTTATCTACTGGGATCCCGTTAGGTCTCACCTCAAGTTTGCTATTCAGTTCCGTTGGTGTACTCACCAGTTTAGCCCCCAACATACATGTTTCTTTGGGCAAGTCCAGTGTGCACTTGTGTTGAGAAACATAGATTCTCTTTTGAGATTGTACTACCTCCATGCCAAGAGAGTACCTCAACATTCCAAGGTCTTTTACTTCAAACTCAGCTGCTAAGCTCTTTGCATTGCTAATGACTAGAGTCTTCAGTTTTAGACTTCAAAGAAGAGTAAATGTGCCTAAGTCTTTTAGTTAAGTTATTTTATTCATTTATTGCTCATTTCAACGTTTATGCATAATTATATGTAAAAAGCCATGTTTGCTTACCGATAATCATTGTGTTTCTTAATTTGCAGGCAACAATTTTTGGATCCTGGTGAATCTGTTATTATGACCTCAATGGTAAAAAAGATGCAGAAACTAACGAGCAAGAAGGTGCAGCTCATCCTTACTAACAAACCAAAGCTGATCTATGTGGATCCTTCAAAGCTTATTGTGAAGGGAAATATAATATGGTCTAATAATCCAAATGAATTATGCATTCAAGTGACAAATCCTTCTTGTTTCAAAATTTGCACAGTAAGCCTTCTCTTCCCTGTATCTTTTTTAAGGATTTGCTAGTTTTATGGATGATAGTCAATGGTCTAGCTTCCGTGATGAATAGAGCTAATACTTGATTAATGCTGGCGTAGGTAGTCTAATGTATGTTGGCCATATGGGAAACTGTTGGAAGACTAAAAGCCCAAGCCCAAGCCCAATAAACTGAGTTTTACTAGTTTGTTATTTACCTTTTCTGTATTTTTATAAATATTTATTTTAGATTTAACCTAGGTTTACCCTGCTTGGCTAAGTGCATTCACTGGCTAAGTATACGTATTAGTTTTTCCTTTTTCTGCCATGAATGATTAGAAAAAAAGAGACATCGAGTTCTGTTTTTCATGGCATCAGAGCGCCGTGCAATCAGGGAGAGACTGCAATGAGTCACTCAACCCAGATTCACGTCCCAAAGTATTACTTTCTTGCAAAGCCCCAAGCCTCATTTTTGTAAATTGACTTTGTTGGGCATTCCTAAGACCTCATGTCATACCATTCAAAGTAGTCTTCCATGCTCGCTAACCAATCTAGGAAAGCACTAGGATTTAATCTCCCATCAAATTCTAGAGCCTCTACCGTAACCTTTTTGATGATGTCATCAATATGCATCCCTCTAAAATTCTCTTGACTATTCCTATGGGCTAGTTGATGTGGCCTATAATGATATTTTTCTTGGTTTTGATCATCCCAAATGTTGTCTATGTCTTCAAACTGATGATTGGTGAACTCACAAGGAGATGATCTACTTTGTCTCTACTAATAGCTCTAGAAGAATGACCAATCCTAAGAGAGGTACCCCTAGGTTTATTAGGGACAGGGGACCGCTCATTCCTAAGGCTTGACTCTCTAACTATAGGATTTTCTGGCAATCCATCGATCAATATTCTAGTAATTTGCCTATATGTCAATTGAATTGCACTCATGAACCAATCAAATCTATTGTTCATTGATTCTTTCACTTAATGAATCTCCTAACGCGCTTCATCAATTTGTTGGTCCACATATGCCTTTTAAGTCCTCCCAAATTTCTCAAGGTAGTTCTAGGCGATTTGAGAATTATTGACCACAGCAGATTCAATGGCAATGATTTCTTGGTCTAGTAATGCTTGCTTGTCATATAAGTCACAAATGGTCATATGCATTGACAAAGGCAGTACTTCAACGTGTATGGTTTAGAATGGTTCTAGTACCCTGAGGAAAACAGGTTTTCAAGTTGCCTCCACCTATGAAGTTCCTTTTTAACTAGCCTAACTTTCCGAAAACTCGAAAGCTTCTTAACGGTCATACTTGCTAAATAGGTAACAACTTGAATGAAATCTTCACAGTGACTTTCAAAGGTTCAAAGACCTCACAAGGAAACCATTAAAATGTCAATTAACCTAGGGCAATTTTCTTTGACTCGGGTATAGGGCTGAACTGTGAGGTAAACATGCCTAAGTTGTAAGAATAATGCTGACAAAAGTCATAAATTAAACAAGATAATGATCCATATACGCTCAAAATATTAGTTTAAAAAAAGGTTAAACTAAACGCACGATTAAAATTAGAATTTGCAATGCTCAATAATAACCTAATATCAAGCAAACTAAGAGTTTAGACCTAGCTAAAGTTAGAACAACCTCTGTTCAATAACCATATAAGTCTGTTAAATGAGAGGGTCATTGGCGTTACCAGTGTAGCTTTAAAAGCCTAAAAAGTTGCAATTGTGCCCCTAAAATGCTGAAAAGCATATTCTGGCAGTGCTGTATGGACGGCACGTGAAGCTCATGCATAGGGAGCTCCGTTAGCATGGATACGTGTGCAGTGGTGGACAGTGGTGAGGCTTCTGAGTCTCTCTGGATTCTTCTTTTCGAGCATGATGGTAATGTTGGTTTCGTGGTTTGACGTTAGGAAGGGAGAGTTTTGGCTATGGCAGCGTGAAACATGGGGTATAGAGACTTCCCGACGAGTTTTCTTTGTTTTTCCTGGTGATGGAAGCTACCAAGGAATGCTCGGGTCTAGCTCGGATATGAAAATGGTGCAGCACACATAATCACTTATGCAAACAGAGGGAAAATGGGAGAAGAAAATAGAAATAGAGTGAGAGGAGGGGAATTAAGAATAGAGGAGGAGAGAGACAGAAGCAAGGGACCAGAGGGGGAGCTGTAAGAACATCACTCAATTTTTTATTCATCCTAGTCTTAGTTTCTAATGCTTATCAATAGCTATTTATAGATTGAGCCTTCACATGAAGGAAATCTATCGACTTGTTAACATGCAATATAAAATTAAAAACAAAAAGCAAAAGAGTAAAAGCAACTTCAAGTTTACTTGACAAGTAAACAGGTTTCCTTGTGTCGTATAAAATATAATTAAAATATAATTGCACTTCTTTCTAAAATAAAATTTCTTATGTTGTTTGTCATTTCTTTCTATTAATGTGATTGTAATCATGCAGCCAAAAAAGGTATTGTCATTTGAGGATGCCAAGCAGAGAGCTTTTCAGTGGAAGAAATCAATTGAAGAGCTTCAAAACCGGTGATATTGATATTCATTTTGCATTTAACTACAGCTCTTTTTCCTTTGGATATCTTGATATTGTTCAGGGATGAACTGGACGGTCCTGTGATCAGTTAGTCATCAATATGAAACTCAGTTGTGGATGTAACCTTCTTCCCAAACTGGACGGTCCTGTGATGCCATGTTGGAGGTTGGAAACTTGAAATCATTACTTTGTATTGTATGCAAGTTCAGTCATTCCTGATAATTTAGATTTAGAGTTGAAATGAAACTTTTTTAGGGGTTAATACTGCGTTAATTTCTAGGCTTAATGCTAAGCGCTGGTCAAAATGTGTATCATCTTTTTTTTTTTAAATAAATAAAAACAGCAGTATGTTTTCAACTGAAAAAAAAGAAAAAGAAAAAGAAAAGCAGGATGTTTACGCCTCTGAAAGCTTGAGCGGATTGTTAAAGAGTATTATGGCCATTCTACATGGATTTTTTGTTTGTTGGAATTAACCACATTTATTTCGAGTTTGATCCATAACTAATTGATCATTGATGATTAGGCTCATTCAAGTAGGTGTTACAAGGTTTGGGATCTGCAGTTGGTGCTCATCACTAGGAGAGCTTATTCCAGACTTTCATTTTGACGTGAAATAATCCGTCATGTTCATTTTAAATTGATATTGATATATTTTTAATAGTGTATATCAATAAAAAATTATAAATTTTTTTTAAATATTAAACCTGAAATAACTTCAATACTCATCAGGGAAATAAAACACCATGCTTATCAACTTATAAGATTTGGATTATCCAAATTTAATTTTTTATTTTTATTTATCAAAATAAGAATTTATAAAAAATTATATATTTTTTAATAAATCTATATATCTTGAATGAGGATAGTGCAAATTTAGTTTGAACAGTCCAATTTAATATTAAAGTTTTATATAATTTTTATAAATTGGCTATTCAAATATGTATTGAACAATATGTTTGATTTGGATGGTTAAATTTAATATTAAAAATTTCTCAATTTTTATTCTGGAAAAATCAGATATATCGTGAGCAATTCATATTTAGAACTCTGTTTTAAATTATATAGTACTTTTGAAAAAGTTTTTTTATCTTAAAATATAAGATATTATGAGTAGATTAAGATTTTATTAAATGTATCAATTTTAATATTACCTTCTCTCTCTCTCTCTCTAATTAAATGTATCAATTTTGTTTTTGCTCTTTTCAATGTACTAAATGATGTGTATTTTTGAAAGTTTATATTTTTGTTTTGGAAAGATAAAATTGTTAAGTGTATTTAATAATGTTTATTTATATATAAAATTTTATTTAAAAGTGTCTTATGATTTGATATGGAGGGAGTATTATAATTTTTATTTAATATACATATTAAAAATATCTAAAAATTAATTTAAAATGAACTGGTAGGATTTTTAATAATTTAACTGGAGTGAAGAACCTCTTACTCTGTGAGACAAGCAACGCAAACGCCACTGCCACCACCCCACGCCCTCTCATTTTTCTTAACTTCTTCCCGCCCCCCCCCCCCCAACCCTCTCTCGCCGGCGCTGCATTATCCGGCAGGTGGCACCTACCGTCTTTGCCTCCGGTCCCAATAACGTCACCACCTGCAGTGTAGAGAAAGCTGTCCTGAACAGAGATCCTTATAGCGGGCATTTAATGGTGGAATGTGTTGCACATCACAGGTAAAATATCTGTGGGCGGATGATTGCATGTATGAAGGTGAATGGAAGAGAGGTAATGCCCGTGGAAGAGGCAAATTCGGATTATAGTTCAGATTACATCCCGTCATTTGTCTCGCTGGCATCGACGACATCCACTGTCGCAGGGGCCTGATTTGTGATCTTAGATTGTCAAGTGGTAGGAGGGAGACAGAGGTCAAAATGTACTAAAAACAAGTTTAGGATTGAAGGTCCCGGTTACTTGAAAGGAATGTATTGAAAAAATTAAGATAAAAATAAATTAAATCAACCTTCTTTTTATGATAAGTATGATACAACTCATTAATATATACTGTAAAATGAGAGAATTATCAAATCCTTTAAAAATCTCATGAATCATAATTCCTAACCTCATGAATTAAATTACTCATTTCTTTTAGAAATATGTTTACCTATCTCATTTGATCATTTTATTTTTAGAGCTGATAATATGGGTCAGTCTACAACCTGTGAGTTGGCCTACAGTGGATTGCTGGTTTGGTGGCACGAGTTGATATAATCTGCATCTTGTGTGGGTTGTATTTCTTCCAACTTGTAGAGAATTAGTGAGTTAGCTGGCTCATCCACCAATATAAAATGTTTTTTATATACATTTTTTTTCTAATTTTAAAAATTACAAATTTATCATAATGTTAAAGGCTTTATTTAACATTGATTATTAGCATCACACATTTAAACATGAAAATATAATTAACATGTATAAGTTGAGAAAGTAAAATTAAATTTGACATTAATTTGGGTAAGGTTAGCAGGCTAACCTTTATTTCTTTTTTAGCTAGCTAAGAAATTTTGAATTCATTAAAGTGAAACGTAATAACAAAGACAGTACAGAGAAAAATGGAAAAATATAATTTTTGGTCATTGCACTTCATTCACGTTTTGTTATTGGTCCCTGCATTTTTTTTTCCTGTGTTTTAGGTCTTTATATTTTTGTTTTTCATTTTCTTATATCCCTCTATGAATAAAGTGTGGGGACCTTGGAGAGAGTTAAAACAATAAAAGATAAAAGTGTAGGGATGTAAAATACAAAAAAAATTATAGGGACTAAAAGCAAAATACGAACAAAGTGTAGAGATCCAAAGCTATATTTTCTCAAGAAAAATAAAGTTAGGATTTGTTCACAGCTTGGCAGCCTAGTATCTCATAATTAAAAAAAAAATAGATGGCTATATTGCTCATGCCAACTTAAAAATATTTTACTCAAATTAAATTTTAAACAAGCCTTTGATTGGGTGCATGTTATACTAATGCACTTGACTAGTTATGGATTTATAACTATCTTAACTAATTAAATGTGATAGGTAATAATGACAATATGTAATAAGCATATAATTTAAATTATTCTAATAGTGTGAATAATGTCAAAGGTTTGAGAATTGAGAAAATAATCTTTTGACTTCTATCTTTTTTTTTAAATGAGATAAAAATGAACTCCTTTTTTTCAACCTAACCTATCTTTTTTCTTTTGTAGGTTAGTGGGTTGAGTCTCCAAGCTCAACCCCTATTATCACTTCTACTTATTTTTACTTTTATTTTTTTAATTCATTCATTTCTTTTTTAGTAAGCAAATAAGACCTAAAGTGCTCTTAAGCCTATAATTCAAGATCAAATTGCCATTTAATTCTATAAATGTTTGTCATAAGATTTCATACTATGTACTCTTATATTAGATTTAAATATTTTTATATATTTTTAATAAGATGCCTTCTTTGGATTATTTTTAAAAAATTTAATGGGTATTTTAAAAGAAATTATTTTACATTAATAATATTAATGACTATTTAAATCCATTTATTTCTCATTATCATGGTATTAAAACTCAGATCGGACCAGCTGGGTTAACCCGAAAATCGGTGACCCGATCCCTTGTCCGGTTTGAGTTTACTCCTAAACCGGTGAGTGAATGAATTGGTGTAACCCAGTCAACTCGGGTTTAACCTAGTATAATCCAGATAACTCGGTGAGTTGATTGAGTTAATTGGGTTATTATTTTTTAGACAAAACCCCCCAAAATGATGTTATTTTGGGGCATTTTTTTTTCATTTTTGATTTTCCAGATTGGAGATAAAAAAAAGTGAAAATGAAGTCAAAAAATAAAAAATTAGAGGCAGAGCACGCTAAGTCCAATCTAGATTTTCAGACAGCATTCAGTTCGGCCTTTCATCTGTGTCTCTCCTCTCTCATCCTAACCTAATTAGTGTCTCTTCTCTAGCTCACTCTTCGTTTCTTTTTCGAGCTCCAGCTCTATCTCCGTCTCTTCTCCAACTCAATCACCGTCTCTTCTCCAGCTCTGTCTCCATCTCTTCTCTAGACTTTTAAGATTGAACGGTTGTAATTGTAAGGATAGATAGTTAAAGTGTTGTATTTTATTATTGTTAGACTTTTGAGTGGTTGGATTTAGTTGAATGTTTTTATAATTAATATCTTTTTATTTAAATTATATTATTTTAATCATGATCGGTTTGTCACCGGTTCAACCCTCAATTTAACCCTGATTGAACCAATAACCCGTGACCCAATGCCATGACCGGTTCAATAACTGATCTAGTTTTACATACCTTGCTCATTATTGTACTATACTGTTTTTTAATTGTACCAAGGTGTCATGAACTAGTGTTTCGTTGTTCAATGTTTATGATATCTCTGCCTACAAAAGATAATGGATTAAAATTTATAAATGGATGACTCAAATCATATTTTTGAATGGATTTTCCAACAGCCTTGAAAATTAGAGAATTTTAAAATATTACGATGTTTTTATAGTATAGAAACAAAGTAATTATTATGGTGGAATTTTTTTGGCCGAAATTATTATGTTTGATTAAAATCGGTTGATGTATGTTGAAATATTAAAAAAATTATAAAATAAATAAATAATACTGAATTTGAAAGTATTCGACTTTAAATTGCAAATTTCCCAGTTGACAAATATTAAGGTAAAATAAGATGAATTATTATATTATATATAAATTTTAAAGTACTCAAGGCTGAGATGACATTCCTTTTATAATTATGAATTGTTATTAAAATATAACAAATCAATAGTTGGGTGAGGAATCTGCTGTTTTCTTGTTTTGTTTGTCATGCTTTTGCTTTTAGTTTCATTTTTCTAAATAAATTAAAATATAATGAATATCAAGATTAATGCAGTATTATTTTAAGATTTAATGAGATAATTAAAAATACGTCTTTAAAGAATATCATATTATCTAAAATTTGTTATTATTTAAAGATTTGATGGGATAATTCAAACTTGATCTTTCACTCTTTTTTTTTTTACCTTTCATATCACTCTAGTTGATTTTGAAAAGTCCATAAATAACAGATTTTGTGAAAGAGAAATCATATTGAAAAAATTATAAATTAAAAATTTACTCAATTTAAAATTATTCAAATTTAAGTTACAAATCATCTAATGACAAATACTAATGTAAAATAAGATAAATGAATATATTATATATAAATTTTAAGTATTCACGGGTCAGATGACTTTCATTTTATATTTAAATTATGAATTGTTATTAAAATATAACGTATATAAAAAGTAACACGGTATTATTTAATAT